ACCTTCTTTGAAAGTTTTCCTCTAAACTGAAAAAAAGAGTCTACATTTGTTGAAACATAAATTTCACCCAAAATTACTTATTTTTTGGTACGGCCATAATAATAGCCAGATTTTATAGGTATAGACAATAGTTACAGATTTTTGTTGTATGGGGGCTAGGGGTAGAATTTCAAGTAGAATTTTTTCTTCTTTAAGAATTTCCCCCTAAAATTAGAAGAAGATATCAAAATCCGGTGCTAATTTAAATATATCGAACATTTTCCCTTAAGATTTTGGCAACTTAGTCTAAAATAAATATTCAACAAATAAATCTTTTAACAGTTATTTTATTATAAAAAATTTAAATGAATTTCTAAAAGTTTGGAAAATTAATTTTTAAAATCCAATTGAAAATTCAGAATTTCCGGATTTTTATTTTTGCAAATTTGCATTTTAAAACCATTATCAGTTATTGAAAAATCTCAATTGGAAAATGATTAAATTTTTTCCGCTCATCGAGAACATTCACACACTATTTGAAATAATTTATAAACAAATAAATCTTTTTTGATCGAAAACCAAATCAAACCTGCAAAGCATACTTAAGTGGGTCATTTGTTGTTGTTGTTGTTTCAAACAAGTGAATGGCGGGCGGGAAAACACTATTGAAATGTCTAATTACTGGACGAGATAGATTTCAATCACATCACATTTCAAATTAATCGTAAATAGTACGTCGGCTATAACACATGTTTACCGAAGGCTGTGCGGAATAAACAATTGATTTTTCACAAGTACATAAAAATAAATTTTAGCAAAAAAACAATGAATTGCAATCCATCGCCATGGCCGATTTGAAAAGCATGTCATGTAATAATTAGCATTTCCTCAATATTAAAAGAATTTTAATTACATTCTCTGATTGATGGAATATCAGAGCAGAGCAATTTCTATTTTTTAATGTCAAAGAGAAAAAACAAAAGATTTCTCGATTTAATGGCAATTATTTCCATTTGACAGGCATTGATGCGGCAGGAAATTTCATTTTATTTAATTTTTTATTAAAATTGCTGCTAGGGATTTTCCAACATCAATTACGTTGTTCTTTTACAAGAACGTATGATTATTATTAATTAACAATTTTGAAGTATTCCAAAAGGTTTATGGTGCGTATGATTGATGCCAACAATCATACGCCAAGGTGGTATATTATTAATTGCATAAAAGAGGACTAGATGGCGTATGAGTGATATGAGTTAAAAATGAGATACCCTCAATGCCATGGACATTTCATGGATATGTATTGATGATACAGATTTTTGTTGGTTGGAGACTTATAGTGAAATTTGATGGGGAATAAATTGTCCCTTGAGACCAAGTCCTTAAAATGAGATTTTGTTGGAGAAATTGGCAGTTACTTTGGGAAAGGTCAAAATGGACAAAAAATCACCTCTACTTTCAATGTAACCATAATGTAGTTGATTTTTTGCTGTTTGGTATACAAGTTATGAATTTTTTGTATTCAGTGAGTTATGATGAAATTCGATGTAGAATAATTTTCTCTTTAAGACAAAATCTCTAAAATGAAGATTTGTTGGTAAAATTGGCCAATATTTGAAAACATTAAAAAATTGACCAAAAACCAGTGTTTCATCAAATATACCCAAATTGAAGCAGATTTTAGGCAAATTAGGAAATTATTTTTCTGAGGTGCTAAAATTAAATGAAAACTATTTTTTCCATTTACACTACTCCTATGAAAGGGGGTCTTAAGGAGAGATTTGGTTCACTTCGTAAAAAGTTAAAAAAAATTAGAACAAATATATATATTTTTTTTAAATACGCCTTTTGATATTAAATTTTAAAGGTAATCATTATATCTAGAGATTTCTTATGGTCGGTGACCCATACTGAAATTTTGTGCAGAATATTTTCTTCTTTTACACTACTTCCCTAAAATGAGGTTTGGTTGAAGATTTTGGTCCATTTTGGAAAATGGACAAATTTTACCAAAATATTATTTTTTGTTCCGAAATACCAAGGTAGATAGTGAGATTTTGTTGGTATAAACTATAGATACGGGTTTCTTGTATTCTGTGATCCATAATGGAAATCGATGAAAAACGTTTCCTCCTTTTATACCATCCTCCTATATTGAGGATTAGTGGGAGATTTTGGCCCATTTTGGAAAAGATACAAATTTTACCGAAATAATATTTTTTGTTCTGAAAACCCCAAATTGATACTGAGATTTCTTAGGTATATATTATAGTTAGAGATTTCTAGTATTCGGTAACACATAATGGAATTTAATGAAAAATATTTTTCCCTTTTACACCATTTCTCAAAAATTGAGATTCGTTGGAGATTTGGTCCATTTTTGGAAAGTGGATTAATTTTACAAAAAATATATATTTTTTGTTCTGAAATACCCAAATCGATACTGAGATTTTCGAGGTATATATTATAGTTAGGGAGTTATTGTGCTCTGTGACCCTTAATGAAATTTGATGAAAAACATTTTCTCTGTTTACACCATTTCCCTAAAATTGCGATTGATGGGAGATTTTGGTATTTTTTCAAAAAGGTATAATTTTGACCAAAATACAAGTTTTTCGTTTTAAATGTCCCAATCGATACTGAGATATCCAAGGTATATATTATAGTTAGGAAGTTATTGTGCTCTGTGACCCATAATGGAATTTGATGAAAAATATTTTCTTCGTTTACACCATTTCCCTAAAAGTGAGATTAGTGGGAAATTTGGTCCATTTTTGGAAAATGGACCAATTTTATAAAATAATATTTTTTATTCTGAAATACCCAAATCGATACTGAGATTTCCGAGGTATATATTATAGTTAGGGAGTTATGGTGCTCGGTGACTCATAATGGAATTTGATGAAAAATATTTTTTCCGTTTACACCATTTCCCTAAAATTGAGATTTGTTGGAGACTTAGGTCTTTTTTCAAAAAGGTATAATTTTGACCAAATTTTATTTTTTTCGTTTTAAATGTCCCAATCGATATCGTTATTTTGTAGCTATATATTATAGATACTGATTTCTTGTGATCGACGACCCATAATGGAATTTACTGAAAAATATTTTCTCCGTTTACACCATTTTCCTAAATTTGAGATTAGTGGGAGATTCGATACATTTTTGGAAACGGTAAAAATGTCACAAAATAATATCTTTTGTATAAAATACCCCAAATCCTATTGTGATTTTGTAGATATACATTAAAGTTACACACTTCTTGTATTTGGTGACCTACTCTAGAATTTGGTGAAAAAGGTTTTCTCCATTTACGCTATTCCCCTAAAATGAGGTTTAGAGGGAGATTTTGGTCCATTTCCGAAAAGATACAAATGGTAACATTATATATATAATATTTTATTTTTAAATAGCCAACTTGACATTGCGATTTTATGTATATATAATATAGCTTCATATTTCTTGTTGTTGGTGACCTTTGCTGAAATTTGATGAAAAATATTTTTGTCATTTACACTATGCCTCTAAAATGCGATTTAGGGGGAGATTTTGGTATTTTTCCAAAAAGGTATAATTTCATCAACTTTTATTTCCATGCCTTGAATCTCCACATTGATATGGAAATTTTATGGGAATATATTCTAGCTACAGATTTCTTGTGGCTGAAGATCCTCATTGAAATTTTATGAAAAACATTGTTTCTATTTACACTATGCCTCTAAAATTCGGTTTTGGGGGAGATTTTGGACCATTTCCGAAAAGTTACAAATTTTATCAATATAACATTTAATTTTTAAATAGCCAAATTGACATTGCAATTTTAAGGGTATATAATATAGCTACCGATTTCTTGTTGTTGGTGACCCATAATGGAATTTGATGAAAAATATTCTTTTCATTTGCACTATGCCTCTAAAATGCGGTTTTGGGAGAGATTTTGGTCGTTATTCAAGATAATATAATTTTGAAGAACATTTTATTTCTATATTATTTCTATATTTTACAAAATTGTCATTGAGATTTTTAGGGTATATGTTACAGCTACTGATTTCTTGTGGTTGAAGGCCCGTAATGAAATTTGATGAAAAAGATTTTTTCCATTTATACAATTCCTCTAAAATGCACTGTAATGGGAGATTTTGTTCGTTTTTGGAAAGGTTATAATTTTTACCAAAATATAATTTTTTGATATTTAAATACCCAAATTATTATTGAGATTTTATGGGTATGTAATATAGATACAGATTTCTTGTGGTTGAGGACCCCGACTAGAATTTGATATATAATGTTTTTTCCCTTTACACTTTCCCCCTAAAATGAGTTTTTGTGGGAGATTTTGGTGTGTCTTGGAAAGGGTATAATTTTGAGCAAAAAATGTCTTTTTTGAAATACCCAATTTGAAAATATTATTTCATATATAAATGTTATAGTTACAAAGTTCCTGTCTTTGAAGACCCCTAGTGAAATCTGATCAGCAACATTTTCTTCATTGGGAGTAAGCCTCTAGAGTTAAGTATTGTGGGAGATTTTGGCTTAGTCTCAATATGCGATCTATCAATTGTGGTCATTGCAATTTATTTTGTACCAATTGGCGTATGATTTATATTATCAAGTTAATATTAAGTATACGTTAATAATAAGAATATTTATGAGTTTTTTTTTATAATTTTTTTTATTATTTTTTATTAATTCAATCGCGCGTAAATAAATTATTGATTTAAGAAAAATAAATAAAATTTTTATTATTTTTTAATTTTTTATTATTTTTTTTGGACGTAGGAAAAAACAACAAAATATATTTTTGTTTACATTTGTTTTTAAACAAAATAGGAAGTCTTTTCTCCTTTCACACCCAAGGTAGATAAAAATCCAAAAATACCTTTCTTTTATGGTTATCTGAAGAAAATAAACAATATCAGGAAGAGAATATTTTAAACAATTTTACTGCTTCAATATTTGCTGATTTCGCTTTTTTTGTTGTTGTTTATTTATCTCCAATTTTTATTTGTATTTACAGCTCATTGGAAAGGCATTTAATGGCAGCAAACTGGCAATGAAATCAATTTAGATTGAAAGCAGCCATCAGAAAAAAATTGAACAAATTACCATTAAATAAAAACTAATTTGAGTTTAATGACCCATTGCTTCATGAATTTTTTTTGCAAAACGCGCAAAACTTTCACAGCCAAAAAAATAAAAAATATACACCCAAACTATTAGCATAGAAAGGTACCATTAACCTTTCGAACATTTGCAAAACTTTTTTGGAAACCAAAAAAAAAAAAAAAAAAAAAATCTTGAACTCAAAAAAATTTAAATGAAAATTCCATTGAAATTGTTGAACATTTGGCAAAATGGCAAGCACAATCATGCTTTTGAGTAGCGGCAATTGTCAACCACGGCCCCAATAATAACAATGATAATAACCCCAAGAAGAAACGGAAAACAAGTATTTTGGGAAATTCCAAACGACACGCAACAACAGCAATAATACCAAGAGCAGAGAAATCTAAATACAAAACTACCAAAGAAATAACATTGCCAAACGATAGACAATAACAAGCAAGCAACAAAAACAACAACAACAACACGAAGACAACTGCAACAAAAGTATCATTAGAAACGCTATTTTCCCAAGCTCCAGGGCATTGCCATAGAAAGAAAAACAAATAGCCGTGTTTTGGCTGGAAAAGTGCAACCGAAGTTAAACAATACCAGCTATCTCTTGGAACCAAGTTATTTAGCCAAGCGGCAGCAGCAAAAGTTCTCTCATCATCCTCATCGTGCTTGTCAGCATCATGGTCCACATCAGCGATGAGACGGTAAACGAGGTGCGTCATGTGGTGCAGAAGATATTGGTACCATGCATTTTCGTTATTGGCGTCCTGGGAAACTCAGTCAGCGTTTATGTTTTGACAAGGTAAGTTTTTGGGCGAGAACTTTTTTTTTTGGTTGGCGGAAAAATGGGGAACATTTTTGGTTGCAAGTAATTTTAGAGAAAATGCGACTTTCCAGAGAAACGACAAATGAGTTTTGGATCAGTATTTTTGACTTTTTTCTAATCTTGGCAAAATATAATTTATTTTGTTTAAATGTCCAAATTGACCTTAAGATTATATGGAACTTATTAAAGCTACGATTTTCTTGTGGGTGGTGACCCTCCCTGAAATTTGATGAAAAATATTTTCTCTTTTTACACTGACCCCGTAAAATTAAGTTCAGTTGGAGATTTCGGCCCATTTTCAAAAAGGTACAATTTCTACCAAAATACTATTTTTTTTTCTTTCAACGCCAAATTGACCTTAAGATTATATGGAAGATATTAGAGCTACGATTTTTTAGTGGTCGGTAACCAACACTAGAATTCTGTGAAGAATATTTTCTCCCTTTACACTACCCCTCTTAAATTAAATTTAGTGGGAGATTTTGGTCCATTTTGAAAAAGGTTCAATTTCTACCAAAATAATATTTTCTGTTTTTAAATTCCCAAAATTGATACTGAGATTTTACAGACATATATTGAAGCTACAGATTTTTTGTGGTAGGTAAGTGGCACTCAAATTTGATGAAAATTATTTTTTCCCTTTACATTACCCCTCTAAAATGAGGTTTAGTTGGAGATTTTGGTCCATTTTGGAAAAGGTAAAAATTTTACCAAAATATTTTTTGTTAATGGCCAAATCGATATGAAATTTTTATGGACATTTTTTATAGCTACAGATTTCTTGTGGTCGATGACCCATACTTAAATTCAGTAAGGAATATGTCCTCCCTTTGCACTACCCCCCAAAACTGAAATTTAGTGGGAGATTTTGGTCCATTTTGGTAAAGGTAAAATTTCTACCAAAATACTATTTTTAATCCTTAATGCTCAAATTTATATGGAAATTTTAAAGGTATATATTATAGATACCGATTTCTTGTGATCAGTGACCTATAGTGGAATTTGATGACAAACATAGGTAGTGTAAAAAACACCTTTCTAAAATGAAGTTATGTGGAAAATTTTGGTCCATTTTGGAAACGGTACGATTTCTACCAAAATATTTTTTTAAATGGCCAAATCGATATGGAAATTTTATGGATATATATTATAGCTACAGATTTCTTGTGGTCGATAATCCTTTCTGAAATTTGATGAGTAATAAGTTCTCTATTCACGCTATTCCCCTAAAATGAAATTTAGTGGGAGATTTTGGTCATATTTGGGAAAGGTACAATTTCTACCAAAATATACTTTTTTTGAATGGCCAAATTGATACGATTTTTTTATGAATATTTATTATAGCTACAGATACCTTGTGGTCGATGACCTACACTAAAATTCTATAAAGAATATTTCCTCGCTTTACACTACCCCCTAAACTGAAATTTAGTGGGAGATTTTGGTCCATTTTGGAAAAGGTAAAATTTCTACCAAAATACTATTTTTATTTTTAATGCTCAAATTGATATAGAGATTTTATTATGTTATAGATATTAATTTCTTTTGGTCGCTAACCAGTAATGGAATTTGATGACAAATATTTTTTCCATTTACACTATCTCTCTAAAATGAAATTTATTGGCAGATTTTGGTCCATTTTTGGAAAAGGTACAATTTTTACCAAAATAATATTTTCTGCTTTTAAATTCCCAAAATTGATACTGAGATCTTACTGACATATATTGAAGCTACAGATTTTTTGTGGAAGGTAAGTGGCACTCAAATTTGATGAAAATTATTTTTTTCCTTTACATTACCCCTCTAAAATGAGGTTTAGTTGGAGATTTCTGTCCAATTCGAAAAACGTACAATTTCTACCAAATAATATTTTTTGCATTAAAATTCCCAAAATTGATATTGAGATTTTATAGACATATATTGAAGCTACAGATTTCTTGTGGGCGATAACCCATACTTAAATTTGATGAAAAATAAGTTCTCCTTTTACACTGCTCCCCAAAAATGACATTTATTGGGAGATTTTGGTCCATTTTGGAAAAGGTATAATTTCTACCATAATAATATTTTTTTCTTTTAAATTCCCTGAATTGATATTGAGATTTTATGGACATATATTGAAGTTACAGATTTCTTGTGTTTGGTGACCTATAATGAAATTTGATGAACAATATTTCCTCCCTTCACATTACCCCTCTAAAATGAAATTTATTGGGAGATTTTGGTCCATTTTGGAAAAGGTATAATTTCTACCAAAATAATATTTTTTTCTTTTAAATTCCCTAAATTGATATTGAGATTTTATGGATATATATTGAAGTTACAGATTTTTTGTGGTAGGTAAGTGGCACTCAAATTTGGTGACAATTATTTTCTCCCTTTACACTGTCCCCCTAAAAGGAGGTTGTGTGGGAGATTTTGGTCCATTTTGGAAAAGGTACAATTTCTCCCAAAATATTTTTTTTTCTTTTTAAAGATCAAATTAATATAGAGATTTTAAATGTATATGTCATAGATACTGATTTCTTGTGGTCGGTGTCCCATGCCAGAATTTTATGACGAATATTTTCTCCATTTATATTGCCCCCCTAAAATGAAATTTCGTGGGAGATTTTGGACCATTTCGAAAAATGTACAATTTCTACCAAATTAATAATTTTCGTTTCTAAATATCCAAATCGATATGGAAGTTTTATGGTTATATATTAAAACTACAAATTTCTTGTGGAGGACGACCCATACTAAAATTTTGTGAAGAATATTTTCTCCATTTAAACTTTGCCCCTAAAATGAAGTTAAGTTGGAGATTTCTGTCCATTTCGAAAAACGTACAATTTCTACCAAATAACATTTTTTTCTTTTAAATTCCCTGAATTGATATTGAGATTTTATGGACATATATTGAAGCTACAGATTTTTTGTGGTAGGTAAGTGGCACTCAAATTTGATGAAAATTATTTTTTCCCTTTACACTGTCCCCCTAAGAGGAGGTTTCGTGGGAGATTTTGGTCCATTTTGGAAAAGGTACAATTTCTACCAAAATATATTTTTTAAATGGCCAAATTGATATGAAATTTTTATGAATATTTATTATAGCTACAGATATCTTGTGGTCGATGACCCATACTAAAATTCAGTAAGGAATATTTCCTCCCTTTACAGTACCCCCCTAAAATTAAATTTAGTATAAGATTTTAACCCATTTTTGAAAAGGTACAATTTCTACCAAAATAATGTTTTTCTTAATAGACAATTTATTAATGAAATTTTATGGATATTATTATAGCTACAGATTTCTAGTGGTCGATAATCCATACTTAAATTTGATGAAAAATATTTTCTACCTTTACATTACCTACCTAAAATGAAATTTAGTGGGAGATTTTGGTACATTTTGGAAAAGGTAAAATTTCTACCAAAATAATTTTTGGTTTTTTTAATTTTCAAATTGATATTGAGATTTTGTGGACATGTATTATAGCTACAGATTTCTTGTGGTCGGTGACCCATGCTAAAATTTAATGAGGAATATTTTCTCCTTTTACACCACTCCCCTAACATGAGGTTTAGTAAAAGATTTTGACCATTTTTTAAAGGGTTCAATTTTACCCCCGAAAATTAATATTTTTCACATTGTTGTTGTAATATTTTGATAAATACTTACGATATAAATTTTTTGTTGTCGATGATCCATACTTAAATTTAAGGAAGAATATTTTCTCCCTTTACACTGTCCCCCTAAAATGAGCTTTTGTGGGAGATTTAGGGTCTATTTGAAAGTTATTTAATTTCGACCAAAAAAATACTTATTTTAAATACCCAAATAGATATTGTTATTTCATATGTAATTACTATATCTAAAAATTTTTTGTTGCGGAAGACCTGCAGTGAAATTCGATGAGGAAGATTTCCTTCTTTGGATAGAACCTTCTAGAATTTGGTTTTCTTGAAGATTTTGGCTCGGTTTTGTAATTGGTGGTAAATTTTTTGTATTTCATTATAACCTTTTTTGGTGCCAACTGACGTATGAGCTATATTACTGAGTTGATATTAAGTATACGTAATGTTTTTAAGTATACATATGATTAATATATATTTATTATTATTTTTTTATTAATATCAATCATGCGTAAGAAAAATTCAAACCGGAAAGGAAAATTTTGGAAAATGTTCAATTCAAGTAAATTTTCCTTGAGAACTCAGGCACAACACAGCTAAGTTTTTCCAAATAAACTCTCAATTCAGCTATTTTTTCGAAAGAAAAACTCAATTCAGCAAAGCTTTTCCGTTAGAAAAATTGAATTCAGCAAAGTTTTTCCACAGAAAATCTCAATTCCGTAAGGTTTTCCATAGAAACTCGAAGTTTTTTTCCAGGAGAAACATTTAATTCTAGAAATAATCACTCCCTTTGCAGACCCCCTTTCCTTTATGTCTCTTGCCTCCCCCCATCCATCCATTGTTGGTTTTATTTTCCCACATGTACCTCAATTTTCATGGACAATAAAAGGATTCCTTTTTATCGAATGTTTGATATTACAGAGTTGAGTTTCCTACCATCCTCCCTCCTTGCCTGTCTTCCAAAAAAAAGGATATTGTTGTTGACATGCAACCCCGAACATTGCATTGTTGCAACACATGCCATAACCTCACTTTTGTTTTTATTGCAGGAATGGAATTCATATCCTCCTTTGGTTACGGACATGCAAACATGTGTGCATACATATGTAGATACATATGTGTGCAGCACATATCGAACAATTTCGAAGGGAATAACAAACGAACTGTAAATCGTTCATAAAATTTGTTGGGAGGATATTGAAAGGGATTAAAGTTGCGTGGGGGAAAATAAAGAAAAATGTGGAAAAACTCAAGCCATGCTTTTACATTACGAATTTTATGGTTCTATCTTATAGTTACAGATATCTTGTGGTCGGCGATCCCTAACGAAATTTGATGACGCATATTTTCTCCCTTTA